ACACACACACACACACACACACACGCACACACACACCACATCTTATTTATTCATGCATCTATCAATATATACTTGGGATGTTTCCATAATTTAGCTATTGTAAATAAAGCTGCTAAAAATATAAGGGTACATATACCTTTTTGAGTTAGTGTTTTCGTATTCTTTGGGTTTTCATATTCTTTGAGGAACTTCCATACTGACTTGCACAGTGGCTACACCACATTGAAACCCCATCAAAAGTATACAAGTGTTCCATTTTCTCCACATCCTCTCCAACACTTTTTTCTTGTATTTTGATTTTAGCAATTCTGACAGGTATGAAGTGATATCTCACTGTGGTTTTGATTTGCACTTCCCAGATGATAAGTGATGTTGAGTTTCTTTTCGTGTGTCTGTTGGCCATCTAATGTTTTCTTTGCAGAAATACAGGTTCACTTCTTTTGCCCATTATTAATTGGATTTTTTTTTGATGTTGAGTTGTATAAGTTCTTTTTATATTTTGGGTACTAACCTTTTATCATATATGTCTTTTGCGAATATCTTCTCACAATCCAATAGGTTGTCTTCTAGTTTTATTGGGGGTTTTATGGTTTTATGTCACACATGTGTATGGTGAAACAAAGTGTTCCACTTTCATTCATTTGCAAGTTGCTGTCCAGTTTTCCCAACACCATTTGTTGAAGAGACTGTCTTTTGCCCCCCTCACATTATTGCCTCCTTTGTCAAAATTAATTGATAATACAACTGTAGGTTTATTTCTGGGTTTCTTTTCTGTTTCATTGATCTATGTGTCTTTTTTTGTACCAGGACCATACTATTTTTATTATTTCAGCTTTGAAATATTACCTGAAAACTGGAATCGTGATGCTTCCAGCTTTTCTCTTCCTTCCTTCCTTCCTTTCTTTCTTCTTTCTCTCTTTTTTATTTATTGTCAAATTAGCTAACATACAGAGTAGTCTTGGCTTTAGGAGTAGATCCCATGATTCTTCACTTACATACAACACCAAGTGCTCATCCCAACAAGTGACCTCCTCATTGCTTATCACCCATTATCCCTCCCTCCTCAACCCCTACCTCCATCAACTCTCTGATTGTTCACTGTATTTTAGAGTATCTTATGGTTTGCCTCACTCTGTGTTTGTATCTTATTTTTCCTTCCCTTTCCCTATTGTCATCTGTTAAGTTTCTCAATTTCCACATATGAGTGAAATCATATATCTGTCTTTCTCTGACTGACTTATTTTGCTTAGCATAATACGTTCCAGTTCTATCCACGTTTTTGCAAATGACATGATTTCATTCATTTTCATCACTGAGTATTCCATTGTGTATATGTACCACATCTTCTTTCTCCATTTATCATTTGATGGACATTTGGGTTCTTTCCATAATTTGGTTATTGTTGATAATGTTGCTATAAACATTGGGGTTCCTGTACCCCTTCAAATCAGAAACACTGTATTCTTTGGAAAAATCCCTAGTAGTTCAATTGCTGGGTCGTAAGGTAATTCTATTTTTAATTTTTTGATGAATAACCACACTATTTTCTACAGTGTCTGTACCAGTTTGCATTCCCACCAATAGTGCAAGAGAGTTCCCCTTTCTCCAAATCCTCACCAATATCTATTGTTTCGTAAGTTGTTAATTTTAGCCACTCTGACCGGTGTGAAGTGGTATCTCAATGTGGCTTCATTTGTCTTTCCGTGATGATGAATGTTGTTGAGCATCTTTTCATGTGTCTGTTTGTCATCTGGATGTCTTCTTTGGAGAAGTGTCTATTCATGTCTTCTGCCCATTTCTTCACCGGATTATTTGTTTTTTGTGTGTTGAGTTTTATAAGTTGTTTTATAGATTTTAGATACTAACCCTTTAACTGATATGTCATTTGAAAATATCTTCTCCCATTCCGTCAGTTGCCTTTTAGTTTTGTTCATCATTTCCTTTGCTGTGCAGAAGCTTTTTATCTTGATGAGGTCCCAATAGTTCACTTTTGCTTTCAATTCCCTTGCCTTTGGAGATGTGTTGAGTAAGAAATTGCTGAAGCTGAGGTCAGAGAGGTTGTTGTCTGTAAGATTTTGATAGTTTCCTATCTCACATGTAGGCCTTTTTATCCATGTTGAATATATTTTTGTGTATACTATAAGAAAGTGGTTCAGTGTCATTATTCTGCATGCTACCATCCAGGTCTCCCAGCACTATTTTTTAAAGAGACTGTCTTTTTTTTTCCATTGGATATCTTTTCCTGCTTGATCAAAGATTAGTTGGCCATATATTTGTTGGTCCATTTCTGGGTTTTCTATTCTATTCTATTCCATTGGTCTATGTGTCTGGTTTTGTGACAATGCCAACAAACTGTCTTGATGACTACAGCTTTGTAATACAGGCTAAAGTTTGGGATTGTGAAGCCTCCAGCTTTGGTTTTCTTTTTCAACATTACTTTGTTTTTTCAGGATCTTTTGTGGCTCCACACAAATTTTAGGAATCTTTGTTCTAGCTCTGTGAAAAATGCTAATGCTATTTTGATTGGCATTGAATTGAATGTGTAGATCGCTTTGGGTAGTATAAAAATTTTAAAAATATTTGTTCTTCTGATCCATGAACATGGAAAGTTTTTCCCTTTCTTTGTGTCTTCAAGTTCTTTCATAAGATTTCTATAGTTTTTCATCATACAAATCTTTTCCCTCTTTGGTTAAGTTTATTCCTAGGTATTTTATGGTTTTCAGTGCAATTGTAAATGGGATTCATTCCATGATTTCTGTTTCTGCTGCTTCGTTATTGGTGTGGAAAATATTTTAGAAATTATAAATTAATAAAATTGATTCATAATTATAGTATTTAAAGATATCATTGAAGTAATGAACTGTTATATCATTTGGTTTATTAGTTGATTAAGCAGAGTTTCCACATTTCAGAGGACTTTCCATTGTAATTACCCACTACATTTAAAAAGGTAATCGCTTTATCTTTTTCCCTGATTTACTTCAAAACTATGGTTTTCTGAGGGAAGACTTTCATATTGGTTGACTTATAACCTTCACAAATCTGACATTCTATAAAAGTAATAAAAACACTGGCAAAAAAGTGAAAAATCAACTTTTTTTGGAACTCTGATAATTAACCAAAGCTTACAACAATCTGAGGATCACTAATTCAAGAAAAAATTATTGAATCTCAGTATGAACAGCAGGATCGATCATGGCATTGTAAAATTGACTTTTTTTCTTTTCCTCACCTCTTCTGTAGCCTAGAAAATCAGCACCATGACAACCATGGTAATTAGGAACAAAATAAACCTGTCACTAGAAAGGAAAAAGTAAGTTTGGATCTCAACAAAAAGCCCCAACCAAATATTACTGTCATTATATGATCTGTCTTCCAACTTTCTTAAAGAACTTCATTTACATGGTGGTGTTTTTAGCTGACCTAATTTGGACCTCATTTTAGAGGAAAAGCCTTATCTTCAGGACATTTGTTGAAAAAAACTGGTGGTGGTTATTTTACATCACAGCTTCCCAAGGTTGTAATATCGGACAAAGGAAACAAGAAATATGCCCAAAATATTAAAAGAAAGAGCTGAAAACAGGTTGTCCCATAATAGGTTTTTAAAAACTCTGACATATTCTTGAGATACTATAAGACTACAAACATGCTCAGAAAATATCATAGAATGCTCCAATCTATAACTTTTGGTTGAAATTTTGGCCTTGAATAAACAGGAAGTGAAGTACAAGGAGGGGTGAGGAGTGGTAAATTTTCTGATTAAAAGAGTTGTGCCCCAACGCATACACAGAGCCCCTTGGCAAAGAGGAAAATATTTGTTAACTCAAGTAATGACAGGAATAAAATGGGAAATTATTATTTTTTTTAATTTAATTTAATTTAATTTCATTTTATTTATTTTTTTTGTTATATATGAAATTTATTGTCAAAT